ACCAGTTTGTGTTCCTTCATACAACATTGCACGAATGCCTAGACCTTCCAGTCAGGCTGGTATGACACAGGTTACAGATATCCTATCCCAACCAATCACAGAAGACAGTTAGTCATAATACAGAAAGAATTGCAAATTTTCACTGTCACTGGGATTTGAACTCTAGACCTGCCACTTGGGGGTATACATACTGGCAAAATTAAAAACTTTAAAATACCACCCAAATCCCATATCCCAAATCCCATATCCCATATCCCATATCTCATATCCCTCCCAAATCCCAAATCCCACTCAAATCCCAAATCCAGCCCAAATCCCACTCAAATCCCAAATTCTGCCCAAATCCCAAATCTCACTCAAATCCCAAATCCCACCCAAATCCCAAATCCCAAATCCTACCCAAATCCCAAATCCCAAATCCCATCCAAATCCCAAATCCTACTCAAATCCCAAATCTCACCCAAATCTCAAATCTCCAAAACCCAAATGATAATTATTATGAGTTATATACATTAAATAGAATGCATACGAGTACCTTATAGTCAATTCCATGAAATGAACATCTTTATCATAAGAAATAAATATTTAAATTTTATATCAGTCAAGTTTTTTTCAAAATATACAGTTCATTATAAATTGACATAATTTAGAAGAAAACTTAATTCAAATGTATCATTATTTAGAAAGCATAAAGTAAAATTTCAATTCTACTTTCATTATAGTCAATCGAAACTAGTTTCACCATAATATCACTTTTTTTTAAAAAAGCTTCGTGAAAATATTCACTTGCATACTGCGAACAAGAAATGTGAATTTATTGATTGGGTAGTTCTTAACCTTTCTAATATTCATTTTATAAAAATAATAAATACAACTGTACATATAAGCATTCTATTAAGTGAAATATATTTGGTGACATCATAAAAGGTTATTGATCAATAACTTATTAATTGCTACGACTAATTGTACAAGTGACTCTCATTATAGTGAAATTATCTGGATGAAAATATTATGTTGAGAGTTCGCTAATCGACGTTAAAAGGCTTACATCATACTAGGCTTACCATGTTGTCGTGTCCCAATAAAAATTTTTCTAATTATCAAACTTTTATTTAAGTAAAAAAAAAAATTGTATTCCTTGTAACTTAGCGTTGATTGAACTTATATAATCATATAGCATTTGCTATTTGGATGCTAAACCTTAAAAGAAATAATTTAACAGCATTGCTCAATATCAGGCTTTCTTTTCTTTATTATTAATAAAAAAAAAAAATTTAAATGCCTATCATTAAACTTTAAGATTTGAAGAATCTTATTACAGTAATGTCTTTAAAATCATACGAATTTCAGAGAATTATATGAATTTGCGAAGGTGATATACCTTCATTTGCAAACTTTAAAATTCGTTCACAGATATCATTGGACATAATTTTCATTCACGAAGATAGCATATATTAGTATGAAAAGGCATTATCAGTAATCTTTAAGTTTTTTTTTCCCCTTAGGATGTAGTGTTGAGGATCATGCAGATAATAATAAAATTTTTACTTGATTTTATATTAAAAAAAAATTCTAAATTACTAATGCAATATATGACAACTAACAATAAGCGAAAGCATTGTTATTTTTTATTAACCCATCTTAAACAAATTCATCAGTATGTGCTGAGTCAATATTGAACATGAATACGATACGGAAGATATTATTAATTATTAGATATAGTTATTGGTCAAGGTAAATTAAAATATATAATAACTGATATAGCTGAAGGACAATGTGATCACTTATGGAAGGTCAAAAATGATAATTTTCTAGTGGGTTAATAAAATTGGTCAGCCAAGTTTACACCCTATGACAATTCAATTAAAAAAAAATATAATGCGAATACTTACTAGACAGTAATAAATTCAATATACGAATAACTAAAACAGTACGATCTATTTAAAATAATACTGCTATTCTGATAATGCATTATTATTATTTTAATAGCTTGTTTAATTCTGCAATGTATTTTCATTAGGAGATAACTTCTTAGCTTGATTAAATCTGTAAGTGCTTCTCTATATACATTTTCTAACTTTAACATAAATTATATATTATTAATCTAAATCACTAATAAGATCATCTATATCAAAATTTTTATTTCCATGTATAACCGCTTTACTTAAACTTGCAGTTTCATTGGGCTCTAAGTTGGAAGACAAAGATATAAAGTTTCCAACTTCTAAATTTGTTGAATTTTCATTAACTAATTCTTCTAGTTCTTCCTCTGTTTCTTCAGTATTTTCTTCAGCAAGCTCTTCCAAAACAGCAAATGATTCTTCTTCACTAAATAGATCAGTCCCATCTTCTATAGAACTTGCAATTTTATTGAAAATAGACAATAGGTCTTCTTGGCGAAGATTTTGCTCTACATAATTGAGTTCTGATTTAGCATTCTCGACTAAAAATGAGTGCATTTGGGCCATGACTTCTAAACGTTCAATGCTTATTCTAAAGAAAAAAAAAAAAATTTTGTAATAATGTAAAAATTATGATAAAAGAGAAAAAATTAGTTTGTACCTAGTCCGTCTTTTTCCAAGATACCAGTTTAATACACTAAAGAGTCACTCACAAGCGGCATTATGAAGTGAAACTAAATGTACTCTTAGGGCGAGAGTTTTTATATGATCTTCATTTTTTTTAAGTTCTACGGACATCCACCAATCAATAACTGTATCAGTAGATGGAATAAATTCATCATCAAAGGGGGCCAGTGATTTTTGTATAAATTCATTTGCGATTTTAAAATTCCAGCACTTATATCTCCTCCACCTATTTGTTTCCATATTTCCATCGCCTTTCTAAAAACATAATTTTTATATATGCCAACTTCGAAAAAATTACCTATTATAAAAGAAATAAAAAAATAAAGCAAAAATAAAATAAAAATACAATGAACTATACATATTGACTTCTAAATACTACGGTAAGTTGGGTGTAAAAAAAAAGATAAGAGATACAATTCAAAGTCAAACTCCTTCCATTGCTTATTATATATAGCAATACAATCACGCCGAAATTGGCTATTATATAAAACAGACGTCTCCTGGATTGCAATTGCCACTTTTATGAGTTCAAAAAAATGTTAGCTAATAAGGTGGTTCGAAATTTTACATTTTTTACAGCTCGCTTTACTGGACCGAGAATATTTCTAAGTTGTTCAATATCAATCCAAAATTGACGATCATTGATTAGATTTCTTACAGCGTTTGCACGAGTAAAAATTTGAGGCTCTTGTTCTAAAACCTATTAGCAGAATTAAATAATACTATATGAGTTATGAGAAGAGAAACCTGTAAACCATTTTATCCATTATGATAATAAGTAAAATGGTTTACAGGTTTTCTCTCATATGTTAAATACTCTGGTTATTATATTAAGGTCACAGATATGTGTTTTGGTCCATATGTAGTATAAGTACAGTAGAAACTTTATATTCAATAGTATAAACCAGAATTATAAACTTTACTGATTTAATATTTGCTTCATTACGTAGGATAGATTCACAGGAATCCCATGCCGTTGACCACTGAGTCTTAGTTGGTGACTTCAAATTTTCACTAAGAGTAGAAGAAAATATGATTTCTTCTCTAAGAGTGGCACCAGCAGAGTAGGAGTTCTTAAAAAAGGATATAATTGTTTGGCAGTTTGACAAAATCTTTTTTGTATAAGATAATTTACAAATGCTGCTAGAGATAAGTTGGATATAATGCACAATGCATCTTATGGGTAAAATATGTTGATACTTTTGTGTAACCTGTCGTTTTGCCACTATCATCGACGATTCAGCATCAGAAACTATTGCTGTAAATTTTTCCGGTCCAATCCTCTCTAACATCTCAATTATTTTTTCAGCATTAAACTTCGCAGTATAGGAGAACTTCGAAAAATCTCATAAAGAATAGACATACTGTTTTCTTTCACTTGTTATTATAACAAAAGTGTATATGCTGCAGTTCAATAGACTGCACCAACTATCTATGCATAAAGTTAAATTCCTAGCCTTAGACAGCTCCTTATTTATTTTTATTATAATATTTGCTGCCTCTGCGTCTAAAATTGATGTTGCTAAGGCAGTACGCTTGGGTGGATTATAGCCGGGATTTAATGCTTTGGTGTAGTCTTCAAAGTAAGGATTGTTGAAGGCTGAGAATAAAATGCCAGAAGATACAATCCATTTAATCAATGATTGGTTAGCACTCTTTTCTTTAGCTTTATCGATAGCTTGTTTCACATTATAATAGGCATCTACAGATAACTGAGAATATTCTGATTTTCTTTTTTTAAAGGCAGTTGATTCAGGTGATATAGGCTCACTTTGAAACTCTTAAAGTACTTTAATTCGGATTTTTCTAGGCATATTTCCTTTACATTTTATTGCAAGATGGGATTTCATTTCATAAGCTCTTTCTCAAGACTACTTCTAACTACAATATCTACAACTTGCTCCTTTATGTTTTCCCACTCCATTATTTATAGCATTATACTCTTTCCATATGTCTGCAAGGGGCTGTCCACTATTAGTTGATGATTCAGTTTGTATAGATGATGCAGTTTCACTAACTACATCATTAGAAGTTTTATCACCATTATTTGTTGCATATTCATTATTTGTTGCATATTCATTATTTGTTGCATATTTATTATTTGTTTCAGTATATTCATTATTTGTTGCATATTCCATTTTAGAAAATTGAAAAAAAATGAAACTTGAAAACAAGCAAAAAAAAAAAGCCAGTTGTAAGTTTGCAAATAATTGGTTTAAAATTTTGCTCGTATTTTATAAAAAAAAAAAAAAGGCCGAATCACTATCTAATATTAGTAATGGTTAAGAACTCTAAAAAAAAAAAAACTTTATTTTTTGAAAAAAAATAAAAGCGAACAAATCGTTAACTGAATACAGTATATCGATGCAATCTCAAGCATTACAGCAGATTTGTTATCTAAAGTATTTGCAGATTTATAGAAGTTACATGATTATCACTATTAAATTTGTAAATGTTTATATAAAAACCCACGCCCTAAAAATACCTCATAATGTTGACTGTGAGTGACTCATCAGAGTATTAAGCTGGTATCTTGGTAAAAGACGATTAGGTGTGTTAATTTTTTCTCTTTTTATTATATGGGGTTGCATCAATAGATGTTTTTCAATAAGTTTTAAACAAGAATAACTTGAAAAAATTTAATAATTTTTTTTTTAAATTAATTCTATAAGTTGTAAAAAAATTTTTATTAATTTGCTTGATTTCTATTGACTCGCCCCTATATTTTTTTATTATTACTAAAAATACTATTTTTTTTTTTTTTTAGGTTAAGCATTAAACGTTTAGAGGTTATGATCTGGATACACTCATTTTTAGTCGAGAATGCTAAATCAGAACTTAATTATATGGATCAAAAGCTTTGCCAAGAAGATTTTTAATAGAACTATGAAGGACTAGTTTATTCAGTGAAAAATCATTTTCTTTCTTGGATGAACTTGCAGAGGAAAAAGATACAGAAGTTGAGAAAGAACTAGAAGATTTGGTTAATGAAAATTCAACAAATTTAGAAGCTGGAAACTAGTGATTCAGAAATGTATATAGGGAAGCACTTACAGATTTAATCACTAGAAGTTAAACAAATAATGCATCTATGTTAAGAAGTGCAACTTATCTTGTAATGGAAAAAGGGCTTGTAGAATTAAATGAATTATTAAAAATAATAATACATTATCTGAATAACAACATTATTTCAAATAGGCCATACTATTTTAGTTATCATTCGTATATTGAAATTTATTACTGTTTAGTAAGTATTCGCATCTTTTAATTGAATTGCCATATGGCAAAAATATCGGTTGGCTTGCCTGACCAATTCTATTAACCCACTAAAAAAATTATCATTTTTGACCATCTACAAGTAATCACCTTGTTCTTTAGCTACATCAGCTATTATATACTTTTATTTAACTTGGCCAATAACTTCAACGATTAATAATATTTTCCGAGTTATAACTTCTAAATTAGGAACACTGCCCTTACCGTATTATGTTCAATATTGACTCGGCGTATACTGATGAATTTGTTTAAGGTGGGTCAATAAAAATAAAACTACTTTCACTTACTGTTGATTACTATATGTCGCATTAATTCTTATGTACTTTTTCAGAATAAATCAAGTAAAAATTTTATTACACATGATCTACAAGTAGTAACTGTTACCCGCACGATTCATTTTAAGAAAAAAAAAAGAAGCTAAGTTAGCAAATGAAACTGTATACAGTCAGACCTCTCTAAGTGCATGCCCTTGGGACCACACTTTAACAACATGCATTTAGAGAATTATAAGAAAAAGTGCATTTATAGAGGTCAAGTATATATTTGGGCCAGGATCTGAACGTGCATTTAGAGAGGGTGTGCACTTATAGAGGGTGCACTTAGAAAGGTCTGACTGTATTTTACTTCTATTCTATGTAGTCCTTTAGTCTTTTTTATGGGAAATACTAAAACCAAATTTGTCTATATTTATTCCTGATAAAAGTATTTTTTTATACCAACATATGCTGTCTTCGTAGATGAAAATTACGCCTAATAACGTCTGTGAACAAATTTTAAAGCTTGCAAATGAAGGTATAACACCCTCGCAAATTAGTGTGCGTCTCCAAAATTCATGTGATTTTGGACCAGTTAAAAACATTACTGTAAATAAGATTCTTCGAATCTTGAAGTTTAACGGTAGGCTTTTTTTTTTAATAATATTAATAAAGAAAAGAAAGTTTGATGATTGAGTAGCGTTATTGAATTACTTCTTTTAAGGTCTAGCACCTGAGATTCCTGAAGACCTTTATCACTTGATCAAAAAAGCAATTGTCATTCGTAAGCACTTAGAGTATAATCGTAGTGACAAAGACTTTAAATTCCGGTTAATTTTGATCGAATCAAGAATTCACCATCTTGCCAGATTTTATAAAACAACAGGACTGCTTTCTTCAGATTGGAAATAGTATCCTTAAATTTGCTCTTTATATGATATTATCTAGGATTTTGTCTTTCAGTTATACTATATGTAACATACTTTATTGTACAGTAAAACATCACTGAGGCAAATTACAGTATAACAATGATATTATCCTTAATTCTTTAATAGTGAATGCTATATAATTGCATACAAATTCAATCAATGCTAATGTAAAGGAATATATTTTTCTTACTTGAATAAATTTTGATAATTAGAAAAATTTTGTTGGGGTAAGGTGGCGTGATAAGTCTGATGAAATACTTGTAAACCTTTATCGTTATGAAATTGTAAAGTCGAACAAATTTTTAATGCCTTTTAAACAATACTTGGTGAGACGTGAGCTAATCTTACATTCCAACTGTTTTATTATTTTCGTAACTTAAAATAAATACTAGTAAATTAAATTATATTGCCATCCTGTTCATCAAAAGCACCTTTTCTTACGGCGCCCAATCAATAAATCCACATTTCACGAAGCTTTTTTTTTTTTTAAAAAAAAAAAATTGAAGTTATGGCTAACTGATTATAATAAAGCAAATTTGTAAATTTACTTTATACTTTCTAAATAATGATGATACATTTGAATTCAAGTTTATAATGAACTGGATAGTTTAAAAAAAAAACAGTTTCCACTTACCATTCTCAACTGATATAAAATTTAAATTTTTACTGCTTGTGATAAAGACCATAGATCTATATGCCACCAAGGAAAACCTGTCACCAGCTTTCAATTATACTTTGCACCGGACAAAATCTATTTAATTTATTAGAGAATATGTCCAGTACAAAATATAATTAAAAGTCCTATAGCTATACTTGCCGTCCAAATCACTATAGTTTGAATTTGTCTGTGCCAAATCCCAAAATTAATATCAAGATAACTAACTTGTTTGATTTAATCTTTTATAAATAGCAAATATTTTTGGGAATTTGGGATTTGTCCGGGTTTTGCCAGCAAGTATACCGATGAAAGGTTTTGTCTTGGTGGCACTCACATATATGCATATTTTAGTTTACTCTATTTATAACAATGACTGTATATGAGATTTGGAATTTGGAATTTGGGATGGGATTTGGGATTTGGGAGGGATTTGGGATTTGGGATTTTGGCGGGATTTGGGATTTGGGATTTTGGTGGGATTTGGGATTTGGGTGGGATTTAGGATTTGGGAGGGATTTGGGATTTGGGAGTGATTTGGGATTTGTCCATTTTTGCCACATGGGATTTTTAGACACAGCTGGACAATCTCATTTGTCTGGGTTTGTCCATGGGCAAATTCCAAATCCCATGAGTTTTGCCAGCAAGTATACTTGGGGATTGACAACTTATCTACTTTACTAGATTGCTATACTCTTTGTATTTTATATTTTATATTTATTATTAGTTATTAGTTATTAGTTAATTAATAGTTATATTATATAGTAGATAGATAAAAAGGATCTTAATTAGCTATTAGAAATGTAATACAGCTACATGATACTAAGTAACATCTGTGATATTACTATTATCTTACAAATCCCAAGTATCTTTGTACAAGTTTTATGTATCCTAGCACCAAATTACTGTGCCAAGTGCTGCAATACAAGAATTTCAAGTATTCTTAATATGAACTCTAAGTGTCTCTGCATGAACTCCAAGTATCTTTGCACAAATTTCAAATGCCTTTGCACAGATCCAAGTGTCTAAACACAAGCTCCAAGTGTTTCAAGCACAAATGATAAATAATATAAACAATATTCCTAGTTGTCTCTGTATAGTTTCTACTATCTCAAGTATAATATCAATTAATGTCATTTAAATTTCTATTGTTCCAAGTACAATAATATCTAATGTTGTTTAAACTTCTATTACCCTAAGTATAGTATCAAGTAATGTTGCTTGAATCTCAACTATCTCTATTAGGTAAAAAGATATATAAAGAGTAGCTTTTCTTCTTTCTTACCAATTCTAAGTTTCTAAACTTTGATCTAGACCTTTTTATCTTTACTTCTAACTTGTAAAAGTGATAATTCTCTTCTAAAGTAATTCCTATTCCTTAGATTGTAGGCCAATACAGGCAAATTTGCTTGTGTTTTTGCATTTTTTTAGCTCTGATCTACTTTTTTAAATTGTTAAAATATATAAATAAAATTTGGTATAATAAT